CTCTCTCTCTCTCTCTCTCTCTCTCTCTCGCATGAATAAAATATAATATATGGTGATGTTGTTGGATTCTCACTCTATCTTTTGATTTCTTTATGCCGTGTATGTATAATATCTTTATGTTGAAAATTCTATTGACTTATGGGCTTATTTATAGGGTCTACAACCTAGTCTTACAATTGTACTACTATTCTACAAGGAGATAGCCACACACATTGCTAAGTATTTGACTAGGAATTGGTTTCACTATTTGGGCAAAGATTGTCTTCAAAAAGTAGAGTTTGATTAGTCTTCCTATAATAGTTTCCAGTAAACATCACATGAGAGGCTAAGCAAGAAGTAGGCAATAATATAAAATTCAAAGTTCCTAAATTTCTAATCAACCTTGGTTTCATTCAATCGATTCTAACCTAGTTGAACCTTATCCAAAATATTTTTTCTCGAGTCGAAATCTTCTAATTAAGTACATGCTACAAAAAGAGCTCAATATCGATATATTTATCTTCGCTCTATCAATACCTAATTATTTGGCCCAAAAAAAATTAAATTTAATACTCTTTCACTTTAGCCCCTTAATTATCACAATATATATAAAAAAATATCTAGACCAAAAAATTATATTCTATAAAATTTTGAACTTTATAGAGACTGCTGATAATTATTCTATTTATTGCTCAAGGAAGTTAGAATGATTATGCCAACCTGGTTATATGTATCGTTGAATGCGTTGTTATGCTAACATTGATAATTCTTTGCATAGCTAACTTCTTTCTCTTGTGATGCAATATCGCATTCCCTGCAGTTGTGAGCTCGCCCACATGTACTAAAAACCAAAAAATGTTTTTGCACTGTGTTTGCTGAATTTCTCACAGTCAAATAATCTATCACCTTCTTTTCCAATGATGACATTTATGCTAATAGTTTGGAGATGGCAACTATTTCATGAATACCTCGTGGCTTTTGTATGTGGCACTTTTGGAAAGCCACTAAGCATTGTTGGCAGCCATTTTCTCATATAATTTCTCAACATTGTTGGGCGACTTCAATGTGATCCATTTGAAGCTACATCTACTGATGTACGATATATTGGATTCAATCCAGTGTTGAAGTATTGAACTTGCAAGTTTTTCTTGATACCGTTGTTAAGGCACTTACGGATCATGTCCTTAAACCTTTTTCGTGCTTCATAGAATCTCTCTAAATTGTTCTACTGAAATATGGAAATCTCGTGTCTTAATTTAGACGGAAGAAAGTAATTTGTCATGATTTTTTGTATGAGATCATTCAAGTCCTAATGCTTCCCACACATAGGGAATCCAACCATTCTTTTGCTCCATCACAAAGTGTATATAGGAAGATCTTCAACTTGATTGTTCATTGGATAATCCAAGAAAATTGTAACTTTGGTAGATATCAAAGAAACATGAAATATGATTATGTGAATTCTCATGAGACTTTCCATAAAGAAGTAATCCATTCTATAAAAGTAGAATGATATTGTCTGTCCTTAGTTGAAAGTTCGGTTGCCCAAATGCAGGATAAACAATGCTTGACTGATTTTTGTGCAAATTATGATGTGATGAATTTCTTTAATGCCAAATCATCTTCATTAATTTCAACCTACTATTCAACCTGTGTCGGCTATATGTTGAACAGTAACCAAAATTTTATAAGATATTAGATGTATTTTGTAGCTAAACTTAAACTAAACTAAATAATGAAATCTAATTAACACTACCGAGAAGATGATAAAATTAGATAGGTAGAATTTTCGATTTCACTTAATTTGTTTAACGTTCATCTAATTCCAATTCATTCAGCCTCTGTTATTATGTGCCAACAATTGAATTAACCTAATATAGTTAGCGATCTCTCCTGAGTAATACTAATCTTATTCATAGACTGAATATACTGTATTTCTATGTAATGTCACATATATGAACGCTTTAACTTACAGGAATTCTATATAGATTTTATATATAGCATATAATTATCTTTCGATCTCTTCTAACGTCTATGTATTTGTTATACGAGCAAGAATCATACATCACCTCTTGAACTCTATACTATCCCTAAATCAATCAAATTGTTGCGCTGGCAATTGAAGAATTTAACACGCAAAGAAATCATAAAAGTGTATTTGAGTGGCATGAAGTCTTGGAAATAAATGTCAAAAACCTTAAGTTACACCATCAAAAAATAAAAATAAATAAAATTTAGCCACTCATAATGCCGAACTAAAAACAAATAAAAATTACAAGACATCACTAAGTTTAATTTTAATAAACAAGATAAAATTCCCTTCGAGCTATTGTTGATTTTCGTTTCCTTCCTTACACATTGTAAATTTCCCGATAAATTGACGTTGAAACGTGATTTATTTCCAAAATTATTGTACGATTCTTGATGAAGTTTCGCACAAAAATCTGGAATAATAATTTTCTCCTAGCTGCCGTCTGCGTGCGTCTTCTTGCCGTCCGTCCCTCAACTTTCTCGTGCTTTTTTCCTTCTGAGTATTCTACCTCCTTGAAATTTAAATCTGCCGCCAGCTTCCTAGTCCAAAAAGGATTCCCAGCCAAGTTAGACTTTTAATCCTTTTCATCTGATTTGAAGCCCAATTAGATTCCCAGTCAACTGCCACCAACTATTGTTATACATTTGCATTCTATGCTTAATATCTTTCTAGGCTTGCAAGTCAATTCTTTGATTTCTAAAGTGCAAAATTTGATCCCAAAGTTGCAGATTTTATCCAATTTCATCCTTCTTGATCAATATTTCTCCAATCTCTATTTTTCTCCTAACATAATTCAAAAATAACAAACAATTAAGTATCAAATTCACAATAATACTAACAAATGCCTCTTTTGGTAGCTTAGATAATTGTAATTTTCACACTTATCAAACCGGATAAATGTTTCTTCTATTAGCAAGGAATCAGGAATTATGCCAACCAATTTAAACTATAATCAAAAATCGAATCTTAATGATCAAAGTTAGATTTCTAAAATGAAAGGGCTAGGAATTGGAAGGTATCATTTCAAGGTGGAATCAAGAACTTTAATTATTATTTAGCATATCCGCAGCAAGTGGTCCTATCAAGAATTTGTGTGCTTTAAATCTATTTAATGTTCAAATATACCAACACTTCACCACATGATTCAAAGACCAATTGCTTATAATACCAAGAAATTGGGGAACAAAATATTGTGAAGGAGGATGAAATCGCTAACTCACCTGAATCCTAATCAATTTATGATGCTAGTATTGCGGCAAACTTACCTTATATTTTCACAACAGCCACAACAAATTACCATACACTTGTTGCACAGAATGCAATACTTTTTGGGGTTTGCAAATGCATATTCTTAAATAAAGGAACATCTATTCCCTGTAAAGTGTATGCTCTAATAGCAGTAGGGCACCCATGAAGTTCATTATTCTGATCGACTACAATTTGGGGTTCAAACTTCAACCTTAATCTAGAAAAGAAAAGGAGAAAATATTCTTCCCTTTCTTAATCTTACAGAAGAAGTTGACTAAAGAAACTAACATCATCAAGAAAAAGAACTTCCCAAATGGTGCCTTCGAATTCTGGATCTGTCCAGACCCCCAAATTCAGTCGCAGAATTGTGGCCCACAAAATAGAAAATACCCAAATCTGGTGGGCTTGGTTGAAAAATAAAAGGCGAAACTGCAAAACGCCCTTATTAATTTCAGTCAGAAACTTCAATGAATTCAAGAATTCACTCATAAGCCCAAGTCTAGAAAAAGGCTTAGAAAGGGTATTGTCCAATCTCCAGTTCTCAACGAACCAGAAATTAATTACATCCACCACTGAAAACGGCACTCAAATTCCCAGAAAATGGAGCAAAAGAAGAGCATACCCTTCTACTGGGGCAACACACCAGAAGAAGAGTATTACATCCAACAAGGCATCAAATCAACCAAATCCTACTACACCTCTCCCAGAGGCCTAAAACTATTCACCAGATCTTGGCAACCCCCTTCGTCCACTCCTCCGCGTGGCATAATCTGTATGGTCCATGGCTATGGCAATGACATCAGCTGGACTTTTCAAGCCACGCCAATCTTCCTGGCCCAGAACGGGTTTGCCTGTTTTGCCCTTGATTTACAGGGCCATGGCCTCTCCGAAGGCCTCAAGGCCTATGTCCCCAATGTTGACCTTGTTGTTGATGACTGCATCTCCTTCTTCAACTGTGTATTAACCCAAGATCCAACTTTGCAAAACCTTCCAAGATTCTTGTACGGCGAGTCAATGGGTGGGGCAATTTGTTTACTAATCCATTTCAAGAAATCTGATTTCTTCAAGGGCGCAGTCTTGATAGCCCCCATGTGTAAAATCAATGAAAAAGTCAGGCCCAAGTGGCCTATTCCAGAAATCTTAACAGTTCTTGCAAGATTTGCACCCACCTTGCCCATTGTTCCAACTGCTGATTTGCTGGACAAATCTGTTAAAGTCCCGGAAAAGAAAATTATTGCTGTTATGAATCCCATGAGATATCAAGGGAAACCAAGATTAGGTACAGTTATTGAACTCCTTCGTGTAACAGATTATGTTAGCAGAAAACTGAGTGATGTTAGGCTTCCGTTTATTGTTTTACATGGGAATGCAGACGTGGTTACTGATCCAGGTGTGAGTAGGGAATTGTATGAATTGTCCAATAGTGAGGACAAAACCATCAAGATCTATGATGGAATGTTGCATTCTTTGTTGTTTGGGGAGACTGATGAAAATATTGCAATTGTTCGTGGCGATATATTGAAGTGGTTGAATGCTAGATGCTGAAGAAATATTATACTGAAATTCATATTCATTCATTTCAGATTTATATGTTATATACATTTATCTTGACACACTACTGAGTTCAAATGTTGATCGAAAATTTGTATGGGACTCAAGTATAAATTGACAATTGTCTTTGATAGCCCATCTTGGCCCAGATTTTTCTTTCAATTCTAAGAATGATGTATGTTTTCTCTGGTATATGCTCCATTTTTTCTGTTAAAAGTTTTCATGTACAAAAACTTTTCGTATAAATTGCTTGAAATATAGAAAATTAGTGAGATCAAATTGGTTTGAACTGTGTCGAATATTGGTAAGTGTCCTCAGTTAGCTAGACGTTGATGTCTTTTATATCCATCCATTCTTGAGAACTAAAAAGTCTAAATTGAATACATCCTTCTAATTTAGGCTTCAAAAACAGTTTGGCCTATTATATGTCAAGCATCCAAGGTCGAAGCATGACTTACAGAATGAGAAATCACCCATAATGGCCTACGTCTTGGCTCAGTCTTGTACTCTGAATTATATAAATGTTGTCCTCATTCTTTTGGGTGATGGGTGGAACATAATTAGAGGTCCCAGGTTTAAATAAAGATGACTGAATCTTCATTGCTATATGTAAAACGTGCTTGTATGCTTATAATCGAGTTCTAAAGTAGTGATACTTACTTGAAATTATAAAATCTAGGTTGAATTACTTGCCTTTGATTTGCTTGTTTTCCACACCATTTTAACCCACTTCTTGGTTGGAAATTCGATCACAAAGAAAGGAATTTTTTGATAGCCACAATCCAAGAACCAAATTTGAGATATTATTATTCTAAAATCAAGCCACAACACTCATGTTGTTTTCTCGCTTTTTGTAAATCCGAATTTCACCATGTATATTTTCAGTTTTTTGGTGGAAAGGAAGTTATATGGAAGAAGTTAATTGAGGGTGGTTAAGTTTCAAATTTAATTTCCAACTCCTCCCTCCAAAATTCATCTCTATGTAAATCGGATCAGGTCAACTCACATGGACGGCCCGTTCTTCTTCCAACATCTCTCACTCGCACATGATGAGTTTGACCTAATTTTAATATAATTCAATTATATTAATATCAACATCTCCAAGTTCATATTGATAAATGGATCATACGATCAGCGAGTTAATTTAAGAGCACAGAACACTATGCACCTGTTAGGGATATATAGCAACACTAGAAAAGTATTTATATTCTCGTTATACCTCAAACATATTTTGTAACCCCAGATTGAGTATTTCTGACCCCTCTATTTTTTTTAGAACATGCTCAGCTTTCTCATTTATATTGTATTCACAATTGTGTCACAAAACTCAAATAATTAACAAAATTGTCCGACCAATGAATATAAGCTGAGGTGTTAGTTAAATAGTCTTCATTTCCTACTTAAATCCCTTCATTTCCAGTCAGCTGCTTTCCTAGACATGTCCCATCAAATCGAATCAACCATAATTATTGGCAACATCCTAAAATAACAACACTGAAATAAAATTCTGAGAATCAATCAAAAGTCATAAGGGTATATAAGTGAGGTCAAATGTGCCTCAAAGACTCACACAATAAAGAAGTGGGTATCAATTCTTTCATTTCTCATTGGTCGTTAAAGCATGCGTGGTATGAAACATGTGTTACGATATTTTCTCCATTTCTTAGGACGTATGTCTAATCTTGTAAATTAAATATATCGTACAGATCATAATTTAGATATTTATCAATATCTAACATGAGTTCTCCTCACATTTATTCCTCTAGGTAATCTCAAATCGAGAACTCAATCTGGCTATAAAAAAAGGTCTAATGAATAGTAAAAATTCATACCGGTTACTTGTTGTAATCTCATCTTGATATATCATAAAGGTGATTGGATCATGTACATAATATGATAACTGTGTCTCATATCAACAGACCTCAAAGTGTCTGAGTTGATTGTTCGTGTAAGTGAACTAATTTTAACCTATTTGACATACTTTATGTGTGCATATGCAATGGTAACCTAAAAAACACAATAAAAGATTACTCTTTAACATGTGAACTCAAAACATTGTTCATTAATGGACATATATGAAAAAGTTTAGATAGTGTACAGTTCAAATTCTATACAATCTCGAAGATTTAACACGAGTCATAAAAATATCTCTAGGGATATGTTTTGTAAGTGAATCAGCTACCATTTGATACGTAGAAATATACTGCAAACTCATTTCCTTCTTGCTAATGATGTCTATTACAAAATTATATTTTGTATCAATGTTTTTGGTTCTGCCGTGATACTTGGGATCCTTAGTATGCAATAGCTACTTGACTATCACAGTAGGTCAATATAGGTCCTACATCACAACTAACGACTCTTAGATGCTATATGAATATCCTTAACCAAACAGCTTCTTGTATCGTTGAAGCGTATGCTACAAATTCTGCTTCCATTGTGGACAAGGAAATATACGTCTGTTTTGGATAATCTAAGAGATAGCGCCATTATTAAGCAAGAATACATATTCCGAAGTTGATTTGTGCTCATCTAGGTGTCCACCCCAATTAGCATCTATGTATCCTGTTAAACACAAATTATTTTCTTGATAGCACAAGGGGTAATTAGCAGTACCTTTCAAGTATCTCAAAATCCTTTTAATAGCTTTCCAATGCTCTCTTCCAGGATTGGATTGATACCTGCTAACTAGACCTACGACATAAAACATGTCGGGACGAGTACACATCATAGCATACATCAAGCTCCCAACCGCACTAGAATATAGAACTTTGGACATTTCTTCCTTTTCCTCGAGAGTTTTAGGATACGCATGAAGACTTAGAGTTTCGCCTTTTGATATAAGATTGTCAACATGATTGAAATTCTTTATTTTAAAATATTCAAGAATTTTCTTTAAATATGTCCTTGTGATAGAGCAAGAAGCATCTTTGAACAATCTCTATGAATAGCAACATTCTTTAACATGAATTTCGGATCAAGAAACATACTTGAAACGATAAATTCCAAGATCTTTTAAGTAGTTGAATCACCTTACGTCTTAAATCTCTAAAAGTTGCATTTTCTTGTTCTCTAATAATCCCGATCCTGATCACAATGGAAGGGAATTATATCCAATTTTTTGTGAGTTTTCACGCAATTTATATGGTTCTAGGCACTTTTTTATTTTTTAGTAATTTTTCATACAAATTTATTTTATTTTCTACCATCTTTTCTCTTTCTTACTATAAAAAAATTTGAGATTTTATGAGTTATGGAAGGTTATGGAGAGCAATAGATTTGAAGTCAAAATTCAAATCACTCATTCTAACCCTTTTAATAACTTGTGGGTTGGGTCATCTCACATGGCGCGATCCATGAGTTGTATTTTCTAACATCTTCTACTCACAGATGATGTCGTTGGCATGAACCCCAAGTGACAATAAATGTCACAACTTAGATCCTTCCGAAAATTTATCTCACAAAAATTCATACGGTAAATAGATCGTGCGATCAACGAGTAATATTAGAGCTCATGGTACTATAAACCTGTTAAGGATATACGGTAGCTCTACTAGAGGAACATCACATCTCGCTATACCCCAAACTTATTTTCCAACATTAATCATGTATTTCCGATCACTCAAGTATTTACGGAACATACTTGAACCCCACATCACATCATTACATTTAAAATTGTGCTTTATACCCTAAATGGTTAAACATAATTATTCAGCCAGTGAATACAAATATAAATGTTGGTTAAAATAGTTTTTCTTTCCTACTTGAATCTTTCAAGTTTGAATCAGCTGCTTTCCTAACATGTCTCATCAAATCGAGTCAATCGTAGTCATTGGTAACATGCTAAAGTAGCAACACTAAAATAAAATCTCAAAAAATAGTCAAAAATCATAAGGGTATATATAAGGTTATATAAACCTCAAGGTCTCACACGATAAGAAAGTAAGGATCCATTTACTCATTTACCCAATATTGGTTGTAAAGGCACACGTGGTATGAAACATGTGCTACGATATTTTCTCACTTTTCTTAGGGCTTATATCATATTCTTTATAAACAAATAACACCAAACAAATTTTATTTCAAGCATTTCTCGATACTTAACTTGAGTTTTCCTTATATTCATTCCTCCAGGCAATCTCAAATCGAGAATTCGTCCTGGCTATAAAACCTATCTAAAGGATAGTGAAATCCATATCGATTACTTATTGTAATCTTATCTTCATATCTCATCAACGCGACTAGATTATGCATATCATCACTTACGTAGATATATCGTAAAGACACTTTCTTTACAAATGTTTCTCAAAGAAATATTATCGAGTGTTTAGTTCCATTATGATACTTGAGATCCGAACATATGAAATAGTTACGTAACTATCATAGAGTATTCTCAACCAATATCATTAGATGCTCAATATATCTATACCAAATAATTTCTTTAGCTAACAAGATATACATTACAATATATGCTTCTTGCTACTCTATATAGCAAGAGTGCACAAGCCTAATAACTAATTGTGCTCAACTAACTCTCATTCTTAGTTGACAATTACATATCTATTCCAATCACAAGTTATTCCTTCGACAACAACTAGAATAGCTGATAGCAGCACCGTATAGGTATCATAATATCCTTTTAAAGGATAACATTGATGCCTACTGACTAGATCCGTGGCATGACAAATGTTAGGACAAGTATATATCATAGAATACTTCTAACTTCTAATCATACTAGATATGATTTTCTAGATATTTCTTTGTGTTATTGAGTCTTTAGACATATATAAAGACTCATATGGTTGCTTTTTTGATATAGGAGTATCAACGGTTTAGCATCCACAATTAAAAAATATTTTAGAGTCTTTAAAGAATACAACTCTTATGATAGAGTAAAAATACTAGAATAATCATTTTAACAAAAAATATACAATTTGCTAAATTCACGTCCTTCTTCTCAAAGATTGAGGACAACCAGTTCAAAATGGTCTAAATGCACTCACTCTCATGCTTAGCCATAATGTCATTA